GCCCAGAGAAGCTGTGGCTGCCCCATCCCTGGAAGTGTCCAAGACCAGGCTGGATGGGACTTTGAGGAACCTGCTTTAGTGGAAGGTGTTCCTACGCATTGCAGGTTTGAAACGACCTGATCTGTTGGTCCTTTCCAACGAAAACCATTCTGTGATTCTGCAGTGCCCCCCTGAAGGATCAAAGCAAATTGGGCAGGACTTTCTGCTCCCCTCCATATCGGTAGCTGCTATAATGCAGCTGTAGAGAGAAAAGACAAGTAGTTATTCTCCGAATGGAATTCTCCATGGCAGCAATGATAAAAATGTTGCTTTTTCTTCTATTTTTGAATTCCATTCCCATGGTCTATCCTCAGTCTTGAAGACAGTAAATAGTTCATTCTTTCCCATTTGAGTAAGACTGCAGCTATCATGGGAGTAGGCGGGGGAGTCACTGAAAATGTTCCTACTTGCTTGGGGTATTGTTTGAGAATGTTGTGGTGAATCCACCAAAGATACCGAGGATTCTCCTTGGACAGGCAGTGAGAAACACAGGAAAACATGCATTATTTCTGTTTGGCAGTCTGGAGTGACCAAAATGAAGAGAACATACAAGCTTTTAGGGTGTCATAAGAAAGCTGTACTACTGTGCAGTCTCTAGGGCAACTGACAGTATTAAATTTGGCTTGTTTTCCTTTTCTCCTTTTTACCCCAGGCAGGACCAATGTTACATGCCCTTGCAAATACACAGAATTCTTCAGTAACCCAAAGAGGCCTCTGGAAGAAAGAGGAGGCAAAATCTATAAATACTATAAATTACCTTTCCTTTCAGCAATAAGAAAGAACTGACCAGGTTATTTGATGATACTTTGCACTGGTTAAAAGTTCAGTGGCTGAACAGAAGCGGGAGAAGGATGTTGATGTTTTTTCTGTTCTGTATCTTGATGCTGCAGCAACCAGGCTGTATTTCAAACCTGTACTCCCTCATCAATCTCTGCAGCACCACCATTTCATGGGAAGCAGGGTGGCCACTTAATGAGAGCTTTAGGGAGCAGAGTAATCAGCACTGCAGCAGAAGTAGAGGAAAAATGGTGGGAAGTTAAATAGCACTTTATATGTTCATCAATACACATTTGCAGAGGGCTGAATGGTCTGTAAGCTCTCCAGCACAGGTACCCTTTTGAGCAATAGGGATTAAGCAAGTGGTTACAGCCCAGGGTGAGGAAAAAGCTGAAGAGTACGGTCTGGATGAACTCACTGCTAGATGGCTAAAACTGGATGGATTGCTGGGCTTGAAGAGGAGGAATCAAGGGTTTGATGTTTAGTTGGTGATCAGTACAAACAAAAGAGTGTGGAGTCAATCCTGGTGTCAGTAACTCGGATGCAGGATGCACTTGCAGCAGGTTTTCAGACAATATTAACTTAGGGGGGGGGTGGTTTTCAAACCAACAGCAGAGGTTGAGTTGAGAGGCCTTTGAGAAACTTAAAAGCCGGGTCAGCAGAAACCTCATGAAGTTTAAGGAGGAGTGCAGAGGGTACACATGGGTTGGACAGTGCCAGGCACCAGTGCAGGCTCAGAGCAGCAGCTGGAAAGCATGTGGCTGTCACGGGGGACACTCAGTTGGACCTGAGCCAACAGGGTGCTATCACTGCGAATAAAGTGAACCATATACTGAGCTACACTGGGAAGGGAGCACGGACAGCAGATGAAGAGAAATTATTATTCCTCTTTATTTAGTGCTAATTAGTCCACACCTGGGATAACATGTCCTGTTCAGGGCTCCCGACTTCAAGAAGGATTTCAAGAAACAGTAGAGGGACATGCAGGGGGCTGATGAGCTGGTAAATGGCTTACAGCACATGACCTGTGAAGATACGTTGAAGAAGCTGGGCTTGGTTTGCCTGGCAAAGAAGAAAATAAGGGGAGATCTGATAACGACCTAAAACCAACCGAAGGGGAGCAGCAAAGATCATTGAGCTGGACTCCTGCCAGCAACAGTGAAAGGCAAAACAAGGAGCAAAGGTCTGAAGCCAAGTCCATGGAGTTGTGCCTGGATGCACGTGAGTGTGCATGGGTGGTGCTGCACAGAACACGCTGCCTGGAAAGGCTGCCCAGTCTCTGTCCGTGCAGCCTTTCCCGGGCAGGTTGGGCACAGCCATGGCTGACCTCAAACACCACAGGTCACAGTCCTGCTTCCAGGGGAAGACTTGGACAGGGTGGAGCCCTGAGATCCCTTCCAACCACCACCTCTATGACTGTGCCGCCACAGTGCCCCCTGGATAATAAACAAAATTGAGTTATCAATTCTTCCTACTCCTGCCTTCCTCCCTCTCTCCCTCAATTCCTCTCTGCTTTTAATTTACATTATGACATCTCATTACCATTTTGTTTAAGGGACTAGTAAAACATCATTCCTTTTCAGCTGGGGCTACTCTGCTTGCAATCCAAGCATTTTACACAGTTATGATTTCTAAGGCACCAGAGTCTGTCAGACTTGGTTTACCTCTTATTTTACTGCATCAGGCACCTTATTCATCTTTGCCAAAAACTGCACTTTTTCTGATACCACAGAATTGCCTCTCCCATTCTCAGAAAACGAACTTTTCCCTTCCTGAACATAATTTGTACCCTTGCTGCTAGACCTGCACAACTTAACGGCTAAAATTCAAGTAGATCCTTATGTACTCACCCTCCCAGGAGACAACATAAATGCAGGCTTGTAGCCCAGAGCCACAGTGACACATGAGGCAGAACTGCTGAAGCACTATGACACAGCTAAGTGAATTCTCCCTCAGATCAAATCTCTGCTGGCACGAGGATTTAGGCACGCAGGCAGCACCTCAGGTACTGGAGGCAACGCGGGGTTAACAGCCAGTCAAATCTCTTTCTGTGGCAGGTTAATAAAGGATGTTAGCATGTTAGATAATTCACAAATGCAAATATACGTGTCTCAAACTTGAGTAATAACATCAGTCAAGAAGCAGCAAATTTCAAGTCCCTAGCATTATACCTTTTAAGAAACCAGACTCCAGACAAAGAGCTAATGCCAAAGCTAAATTCTGGGATACAAATGCCCAAACGCTGTTGGGCAGGGTATTTCTGTAAAACACAAAGGAACCAAGGAATATGTGTACTTCAGAATGACACACATGTGCAATGCGGTGTCACAGTTTGGAAAATGGCAAATCTAGTTTTCTTTGTGAAGCAGAAATAAATAACCCAATCACAAGTCTCTGACAGTAATCCAGTTGTTTATTGTGGGAAAGGATTATTTTCTGAAGACTACAATGCAAAGGAGTGCAAGTTTTATGTAAAGACTGAAGCCATAGCAACAGCCCATAGTGTGCCACACACTTGATTCTAACCCAGATAGAAGTGTTTCATAATGATATATTTGATAGACTAAACACACAATGGAGCAGCACATCTTTAAAACTAAAAAAATAGCTGAGATTTTCATGTGTAAACATCACATAGACCAAAAAGTCAAATAAAAAATGTAGAAAAAAAATATAAAAAGCCCCCAACATATATTTTAACCCCTCTAAAGCCAATTCTAACATATTCTGTACCACCATGTCTTGCACATAGACAGCGTTAATAACATCATTAAAACATTCCTGTTGGCCTCTCCTCGTTTTGTTTTCTCTCAAAGTACTTCTTACATATTCTTGAACAGTTTTCATTTACACTGCTCTGTGCACTGCTAGGACATAAAGACTCTCTGATGATGAAAGTTTTGTGTAGTGGCATAAAATCACTTTAGCCTGGGTATATTCACTGCAAACAGTCAAAGCAATGAATTGCAGAATGTATATCTCATTAGATTATTCAGAAAGATACAGCCGAGCTGTGAATACTGGTCTGAAAAAATAATGTATCTCCACAGCTCTCCTCCTAAGGGAGGAATATTTTTGAAACTTATTTATTGCACTAATAGGGTACCATACAGTTAAACTTCCAAGCTTCATTCCCAAGGTGGTTTGGCTGCATAAATTCAACCGAGAAGTAAACATAATTTGACGGCCGTTAAAATCTTGATACTGATTGCTTTTATTGGGCTATATCCTCTCACTCTTTGGGATGCGAATTTCCGGCGATAACCTGTGCAGCAATAAACTTCATTCAGCCACAAGAGTGTGCATGTGAGAGGACTGCAAATCCGCTCCGCCAAACCAGAATCAGCCGGTATCGCAGGAATGAAAGAGCGTGGAGATTTGAAATTGCAGGGAATGGAGACGAGGCGGTGCAGAAGACGAGCCGCCCGGGGGGCAGGGGGCCCCAGCCCGGTGCCGCACTCCAATGGACAATAAGCCCCGGGGCGGCGAGCAGGGGCGAGGCTGAGCGGGGCCGGGCAGGTGGACACTACAGCCCGCAGCAGCTCTCGGGGCTCGGGCTGGGCGGACAGCGGGGGCTCGGCGCCGTGGCGGGCAGGGACGGCGGAGCCCGGCGCGGTGAGTACCTCGGAAGGAGCCGGGAGCCCCGCACCGGCACCGGCACCGGCACCGGCACCGGCATGGGCAGGGACCGCGGAACAGCCGCGCCGCCTGCGGCAAAGGCGCGCCGGGCCGGGCTGGGCTGGGCTGGGCTGGGCTGGGCTGGGCTGGGCTGGGCTGGGCTGGGCTGAGCTGTCCCGGCACGGTGCAGCGCGGGCAGGAACGCGGGGCTGCCCAGGGGCTGCGGGGACCCCTCCGAGCCTGGCCGAGCCGGGAATGCCGCAGCCGCAGCGGGGTAACTCGCGGTCATCCTTTGTGCTCGGCGGGCGGGCGGGGCCGCCCTCCCAACCCGCCCCCGCCGCAGCCCCGCGGGCCGGGCCGGGCCGGGCCGGGCCCCCGCCCTGCGCTGCCCCCGGAGCAGCCCCGCCGGTGTTTCGTGCGGGTGAACCGCGCTGGAGCGCCGGGGGAAGGCTCAGAGTACGGAGCTCCCAAATCTGTTATCTTGGGGCGAAAAGTGCATCCCCCGCCATCGGGCTGCTGCCGTAACGCTGCACGAAACAGAGGTGCGCTCCTGGTGAACGCTGCCCGTTCCCTTGGGAGGAGAATGTTTCAGTGCCTGAGCCAATCGCCGCAGTCCCCGGGGATGTGGCACCACGCGTGTGTCGCGCCGGGGCAGGGCAGCACCGAGGCATCGCCCGGGCAGGTCTGAGCGGCGCTTTGGAAGCAGCCCCCGGCGAGGGGCAGCAGGGCAGAACCCCCAGTCTGGAAATGGAACCGCGGCTTACTTTGAGACCCTGGCAATTAGCCTTTTGAACATTTAATTTCCCCGATTTTGTGTTCCTTGCTGGACACGCTCTCCTTCCACTGTGGCTCTGATGGGCGCGAGTGGACAGTGTCCGCATCTCCAGTGAAGCTGCTGACCACCGAAGCGCTCGGCATGTTGGCTAGGTGAGGTCAGACTGCCAACACAAATGAACGCCAAAATAAACGATGTTTTTAACAATGTTTTTTTTCTGTATGCCTTCAGCAGACAAATAATTACGTGTGGCATGTCTTCTGGGAATATTGCAAAGCAAAACTCCTTAGTATTAACTATGCATTTATGAGTTATCCATTGGAAGTGCCTTTAAAGTACGATTTTATTCTATAACTTTTAACACGGAGGCAGTCAACGCTAGAAGAGGTTGCCCAAGTATATGTCAGTTATTCATCGTACGGATTTTATATCAAGATCAGATGTTTTTCAATGATCTAGTTCAACTACAGGCTAGAGAGCCATAGCTCCACTGATAGTACAGGAAACTTGGGTGTTTTGCTGCTAACTATGGTCTTATTACAGCACCTGCATTTGTCCCTGAAATAGCTCATGAGTCAGATTTTCAAAAAAGCTCAGCATCTTTGCAGGCACTACTATTTGGGCCATTTTTCTAAGAGCTCTGCATGCTTTGTGTGCATACAATCCTAAAAGCTTTTCTAAAAAAGGGAAAAAAAAAAAAATCTAGGTCTTCTCCAGGTGACCAAACAGGAATGCAGATTCTCCTGCCTTTAAATGTAATCTCTGTGAGGGGCTCTATTCAAACACTGTTACTGTGAATGTGTCTTCAACTGCCTCGCTTATTGGGGAAACTGGCCTGGCTCTCTAGGATTTCATAATTACAAAGACTCCCTTGGGCTCCTCTGCCTTTCCTGAGACTGTTTTTGGCTGTGTTTTGGTGTGGGAAGAAGGCTGAGGACAGGTAAGTGCATTTCTCCTGGGCACAACAGGCCATGGGGTGATGAGGCAGTAGTGGGAAGGTGATCCAGGCATCCAGTCCTTGCTTTATCCAGAGTCTGAGTGTCTGGGCAGTTACTGGAGATGACTTGCCTGGTTTCGAGTGTATTCACTCTGAATTTTGACATTAGGGAAAAGCTAACAGTAAAACAGTAATAATAAGCAAGAATCCATTTCAAAGGGAAAATATATGCATTTTCTGAAGATTTGTGGAGGTTGATGCCAGCATGACATTAAATTGCACCTACTCAATCTAAGCCAGTTGTGTCAGCAAGACTGCAAAGATGAGTGCCATATCTTTGTAGCTCAGTGTCAATCATTTTTGCTTCAAATAATTTAAAATACGTAAAAGATGCGACAATTTCCTGCCCAAAGAAGAACATTTTTGTATCCAGTATCAGGATTCAGGTGTGCACAAACCCAGTCAAAAGCATAAAAGAGAAAGGTGAGGCCTCACATTTAATCCTGATTCTGAACCTTCAGTTACATAATTTTGTCTTCCATTACCTAAGATGTACTGTAACATCCATCATACATTTTCATTAATCTTAGGCAGAGCATGTGTAACAGCTTGTGATTCTCCTTCATTCTGCTGTTTCCCATGCTTTCCCATGAGCATGATTATTCACTGTGTTTATTGCCTTTATGCAGTTAGTCTTCTCTCTGTGAGTGGGCTGAATCCTGCACAAGTAGTCCTATAAACTACAGCAACAGGGGATCTGGCTCCAAGTGCATTATTAGGAAATGGTTGAGATGTCACCTTTAAGACCTACCCTTTGTAGAGGAAGGATGAGCTATGATTGTAACTAAGGAGATCTCAGGCTGTTGTCTCTATCATCAAAAAACCAGTCTGCACCTCCCAGGGCTCTGCCTTGCTCCCCTGCTCCCCTTCCCGCCTCAAACACCCCGCAGGACCTCTGGAAAGACCTCTAAGCACCATCCCCATTCTTCCTGTTTCTCGGTTTGGAAAGAAAAAAACCTGTAAGGCCTTTCAGTATCTGTTTCCACTGGCAGCCAGGTGTGGACTCATCAACTGATCCCAGTTCATCTGTCCATGCAGTGTTAAATGTACACAAGTTCTTATTCTTCCTCCCTGTCACCAATACCTGCCATGGCCAAATTATGGCCAGGGAAAACTCGGCCACTAAAGAGCATTTGTCTGTGAAAAATGCGAGGCCAGGATTGCGGCATATTTTAGCTCCAGCTCGCTGGATGAGGGAAATCAGTGTGCTCTTGGGGGAACCCACGTGTCCAACTGCCCTCAGGTACACATTAGTACCTGCAGTGCCAGGATAGGTGGCACTGGACTGCAGAGGTAACTTACCCAACAGCCAGGCTGAGGAGGTTACAGGTGTTCACTGTTGTCTGGGAGAGAAACAGCTTTGCCCAGTCAGCTCTGATTCCATCTGTGTATCAGCGTGGAATTCACCAGGTCCATCTCTCTGTGTTCATCTAGCAGTCAGAAAAAAAAATAAAATAGTTTGGAAAGGTAGTGCCCTGAGAAGCAAAATGTACTCATGTATTTAAAGACTAATTTTCATTTGGTACAGAATCTGAGTTAGTCCATTCACTGCCTGTTTGCAGCAGTGAGGAGCTAGCCCAGAAACACATCTTCTGAGGGCTCACAGAATATATAAGGAGCTTTTTTAAACAATTTTTGATAACTTTCTTCTCTGTGTCAACTGTCACGAAGCTGATGTTTCTTTTTTATTTCTCTGAAGAAGGAAAGACAAAAAATTCCCGTCTCTGGTAAATGGTACTGTTACATTTCTAGTCTCCATGGAAACCTACGTGGTGCTCCACAGTTGGCTAATATTTCAATCTGTTGCAGCAGAAATCAGATGGAGGGAAGGCTGGGTTCTGCACCTTGCATGTTAATCGATTAAAAACGGTCTTGAAATTATTTTCACATTGTGTTGCAGTCTTTGTTTAGAGTAACAACAGAACAAACTGAAGTAACCAAACTGAGCTAAGTATGGCTTGATCCTGTGTCCACCTGTGCACATAACTGTGCCTCTCGGTTTGACTCTGATAGGCACTGACATCCATTTGGAAGAATTCTTTGGGTTTGGTAGGATTATAAGGATTAATACTATGGAAACTGAAAGCATAATAGCAAACTGTTTGTCACGTTGACTCTGGTAAAAAGCTTGCCAGAGAGGTGGTGACAATCCCCTTGTTGTGATTTATGTAAGCAAAGCGTTCTGAAAGTCAAGAACCCTAATTCTTTTATCTTTTGCTGTCTTCGTTCTTGTGCTGCCACTGCTAAGGAAGAAATATATCTGAAAACTGGTTTCCTCTGAAAAGATGGGGTAACTTCATCTACTCGCCTCTTGAGGATTTAATTTCTTTACTCGGAGCTTTATGGACTTGAACACAAAGGCACAAAATCTTACTGGGACAGCAGAAGGCGACACAGTGAAGAAATACACAGAGAGAGATCAGTCTTTTTTGTGACCACAGTCAACCCATGAAGAGTGAGTGCTCTCAACCACCTAACAGTAAGTAGAATCTATAATAATGCAAATAATGCAGCCTATAAATACTGCACAGACAGCCATGATAATAAGGTACACAAAGAAATAAATTAATTGGACAATTTTCCGAGCATTTTACATTTGAACAATGAAATCACAATATTAACTTCAGAACTGCACTACATAAAAGCTGTGAAATACAATAGGGATTTGTGGTATTCACTGTAGCCAAAATACAAAGTCTGATCTTTTTTGTGTGTTTTGTAGGTATTCACTGCATTTGTTTCAGAATACTCTGGAGAAAATGTATGCTAGTCGAGAGGATATTGGGTATGATTTTGGAGACGACTCAAAAGTTGGAAGTAAGCCAGTTAAGCCCAATCCAAACATCGACGGAGGATGGGCTTGGATGATTGTCTTTTCCTCTTTCCTTGTGCACATCCTTATCATGGGTGCCCAAATGGCCCTTGGAGTGCTCAACATGGAGTGGCTTGAGGAGTTTAATCAGAGCCGTGGCTTAACAGCGTGGGTCAGCTCGCTCAGCATGGGCATTACACTGATTGTAGGTACGGTCAGCAGCACTCGCTTCATTCCTCCCCAGAGTATTTCCTTAGTTTCCCATTTTATTAGCAGAGCTGACAAAGTTGTCCTGAGTTGCCTTTTTAAAGTCACTAGGGCAAATGTTATGATTTAGATGGAGAGAGGGAACAACAGGGAGGATGGCAGGGATGTCAGCCCAGGAGACAGCATGAGCAGGAAAGGAAGTCTGGGACATCAAGGTCTCACTACAGTTAAGGAAACAGATGATCTGTGAAGCTTGTGGCCCTCCCTGTGCTCTATTTAGGAGGAGAAAACGTTGAATTCAGACAGTTTATATTTCAGTTTGGCAGCTGAATTAAAACTTACTTTTTAAGTTGGGGTTGGAGCAACCCAAAATAATATGTGGAGGATATGGTTGCATATATATGTATACGCACACCTATGGCTCCCTAAATGAAGGCTGAAAAAGCTGTGTTTAGATCTGCCTAAAATGTCCCACCGAAAGCAAAATGAAATGTTTACTTTCTAGTTCCTTATGAAAAAGGCCTGCACTCACACAGCATCAGCACTGGGAACAACAGTTTCAGTGTTTTTCTCTGTTTAAACTGTCTGTCCTTCATGGGGCAGCTTTGATTGTCTTTGATACAGTCTTGCAGTATTTGATCAGTTGGTCATATTTTTCTTTCCATGATTTTAAGCAGTAATACGGAAAACAAACTGAACTGCACAAGCTGCCCGATGTTTTACATTTTATTCAAAACATCAAGAAAGTTCATGTGAAAAATTACCAGAGCACAGAGAACTAACTAAATAATTCCTCTCTTTTTTTTTTTTTTTTTTTTTCATGTTTTTTTAACAGGTCCTTTCATTGGTCTGTTCATCAGCATGTGTGGGTGCCGCCTGACAGCTATAATTGGAGGGCTGCTGAATGCCCTGGGTTGGATCCTGAGTGCCTATGCCTCCAGTGTGCACTACCTCTTCCTCACCTTTGGAGTGACAGCCGGTAAGAGCTGCACTCACCTTTAAAACTTCTTTCAATTGCTTTTCATTCCTTTGAAAGTTATCTGGGTGAGTCGAGAGGGAAGTTTTAGACTGTAAAGTTATTCCAGCTCTTCTTTCACAGGTTTGACAGCCTTTTATCTTTTTAGAAAACGTAATTATTTACCCAGCGGATTGGGCTTTTATCAGTTTCATCCAAGTGAATATATTAGAGGAGACTTTTTAATTGGAAGAATTAATGTAACCCAAACTCTAACAAATGAAATTTAAAGGTGTTAAAACACTGTTGAATTATATATCTAGCTAACTCCTATTTTTGTCACAGGAAGAAACAGCGAATGTTTTCTCCAGGAGTTGCTCCACATTAAATAAAATACTGGCTTATGATAACTATCAACTCTATCCCAGCCTCAATTAGGATAAGTCATGATGCTGGATTTCACACCTAATTTCTAATAAAGGATATTCAGATTGTATCAGAAATCACGTATAGCAGCTAATATTGCTACATTTTTTACAACCAAAATGACCAAAGTAATATTTGTCATTTTAACTGAAATTAGATGTCTAGAAAACCATTTTGACTTGTAAGAGCCTGATCAAAGTATGAAAAGGCAATTTTTTTTTCAAAATCAACAGATCCTTAGTGCCTGAATGGTCATGTTCTAGCAATAATGTGTCCGTGAAAAAATTTAGTTACTTTAAATAAGTTATGTAGAATAGCCCAGTATTATCTGCTTAAAGCATTACTTCATTTTATTTATTGTTCATTTCTGGAAAGAAATACTGTTAATAGATACGAAACAGAAATGTGAAAGTTCACCCAGTAAGAAATATAAAGTTTGGGCTTTAATTATCATCTGAGCAACACTGAGCAATCAAGGGGCTTTGAAATATTACTCACTCCACAGATAACATGGCCAGTTATGTTTGCAAATGAAGCACAGTGTCTGTACTGTATGTGACAGATGGAAACGTTATGAAAAAAAGGAACTGTTTGTAATACTAATAATTGCTTCAGTACCCCACATTCTCCTAAACTGTCCTTTCATAGAATTTCACAGAAAGCTACAGGATTTCTGTACAGAAATTCTGATTTAGCCTTCTGGGTGGAGGAATACTGAAACTAGCAAGAGTCATTGTACTGACTCTTTATACCACCATACCATAGACTTCAGTAATGTTGTAAATTCCTGAACAAGGAACAGTGGCCATAGGCAGGGTTTTGTCTTTTTTCAGAATTTCTGTTTCCATATATTTTGAATATAATTGAGCAGGCAGGAATCTACACACTTTTCCCCTCAGCCCTTGCTGCTTTTCAGGAAGAGCACACACAAAGTGACAGAGATCATACGGAAAAAATTCAGAAGCAAACTTTGATGTGAGGTGCAGAAATGAAGTGCTGTTGCAGGAGTAGTTCAGACCAGACAAACAGCGCCTCAGATGTTCCTTCCAGCTCCAGGAGAGCTCCGTTCACCGTCCCCTGACTCACCATCTCCTGACTCACCATCTCCCGGCTCCCCATCCCCTCACTCATGGTTTCCTCATTCCCCCCTCGCCTCAGTCCCTGCCCACTCACTTCTGTCCCCTTGCTCACCATCACCTCATTCCCGGCCGCCTCAGGGAAGTCTCTGCCGTGTTCTCGTGGCTGCTGTTCCCTCACAGCGGCCACCTCTTGCTGCCATCCCTTTTGGGCCCCCATGCCGTACCTGTGGGCTTACCCATGGCTCCTGCCTCCTCACAGGGTGTCCCATGACCCGACCGTGTCTCCCTGTCCGCGGCCACCCTGCTGCCTCAGCCTGTTTTGGGGTGGTTACCTCAGGGTGGGTCCCCCCTTCCCCAGCTCCTCACAGCCCGGGCCCCTCACCTGCTGGCCGACAGCTCTGTGGGCTCTCCTGCCCTCAGCAGCACTGTGGGGGCACAGGAGCCTCCTGCCCTCAGCAGCACTGTGGGGGCACAGGAGCCTCCTCCCCTCACCCGTCCTGGAGCTGCTGGCACCAGCAGTCCCTGTGGGCAGGGGTCACACTGTCCCCGAGGCCCTGCATGGCACCGGTCATCTCTGTGGGCAGGGGTCACACTGTCCCCGAGGCCCTGCATGGCACCGGTCATCTCTGTGGGCAGGGGGCACACTGTCCCCGAGGCCCTGCATGGCACCGGTCATCTCTGTGGGCAGGGGGCACACTGTCCCCGAGGCCCTGCATGGCCAGGGGCAGAGCAGAGCTGACCCTGACAAATCCGCTCGGAAAAGGCACGGAGAGACCTTGTGGCCGAGTGCGTACCTGTGGGGCAGGTACACGAGGCCTTCACTTTGTAATCAGACCGTCTCTTGCTACGTAGCCCACGGAATGAACAGGTAACGCCATTTTAAAATGTTGTACTGGTGCGAGCAGAGCTGATTCCTCACCCCAGCCACCGGCAGCCAGCCCGAGGGGCAGGAGATGTCCAGGCCAGCCCGAGGGGCAGGAGGTGTCCGAGGGGGCAAACAGGCCTCCCTGAACACTGTGGCTGGGGAGGGGCGTTTGTGCAAAATAAAAAACCTGGTTGTGCATTTGCCTAGCAAAGAAATAAATACTTCTAATAGGCGAAATGGGTCTGATGTGGTCATGGGCACTGCTGTGATGCTGAAGGGCTTTTTTTCAGGCTTTGCAGGAATCACTGCTCTTTCTCCCACCTAGCTATAGCTAGATCATGCTGTAGCTGCTTGCAACTATGTTATCACCTATTTAGGAAAACCTTTAAGCCCCAAAACACTCTTCTGAATTATGATCACAGTGAATTAGGAAGCATCTTCTGCATTACACCTGTTCCAGTCCAAATTCCTCTCTGAGGAATAGGCTGTGAGAAAAAAATGGGGAACTGTCTTCTTTCGTGATGAGTTTGTGCAGCTGTTAACGCTTTCTGCTTGAAATATATACCATGAATACCTTGGTTTTTAACTACAGGTACGGGGGGTTCCACAAAATTAGAGATCTGCCTTTTAGGACTTTAGGTTTTATCTTCCATGTGTTTAATTTTTTCCAGCAGTTAAATATCTGGCTTGTATTCTCACTGGAATGAGTACTGCAAATTTTGGAAAACACTACACGCTACAAGACAGAAATGAAAGCTAACATCAGAATTGAATATTACTGGTTTTACCAGTATGCTTACATAAAAGCTAGGAATAAAACTGACCTGTTTTTCACTGCCTTTTGCATCGTTGGCAAAATGTTCAAATATATTGAGGGGGTTTTTGTTTATTATTTTCCTAGGCATTGGAAGTGGCATGGTTTATCTGCCCGCAGTGGTCATGGTGGGGCAGTATTTTCAGAAGAGAAGAGCACTTGCACAAGGGCTCAGTACCACAGGAACAGGATTTGGAGCTTTCTTAATGACTGCCTTACTGAAGTACCTCTGCACTGAATTTGGGTGGAGAAATGCCATGTTCATCCAGGGTGCCATCTCTCTGAACCTCTGTGTCTGCGGGGCGCTCATGAGACCGCTGTCTCCCAAAGACCTTAGCGAGAAATCTGCTGGGAGAAGTAGCAGTGAAGATAATCAAGCAAAAGCTCTGTCCCATTCTGCAGAGACTATAAAATCTAATGGAGTCCTCGCTGAGGAACCAGAGAAAAAAGAAGAGGTGACAACTGAGGAAGTGCTTGAGAGCGTTCAGCACACAGAACCCGGAGGTAACTCTGGGAGCGGCAGGAACATGTACGGACTGCGCATGCTGAAGACTCTGAGCCAGCTGACACTCACAGTCAGGAAGGGCTTTGCACTCTGGTACTCCAGCTACTTTGGAGCTGCATCACTGTTTACCAACAGAGTATTTGTGGCCTTTATCATTTGGGCTTTGTTCGCCTACAGCAGCTTCGTCATTCCCTTTATTCACCTTCCAGAAATAGTCAAGCAGTACAACTTATCTAGGCAGGACAATGTATTTCCTTTGACATCCATTATAGCCATTGTTCATATTTTTGGTAAAGTGATCCTTGGAATCATCTCAGATCTCCCGTGCATCAGCACATGGAATGTCTTCCTCATGGCTAACTTTACCCTGGTCACCTGCATTCTTACTTTGCCACTAATGCAAACATATGTCGGCCTGGCTGTGGTTTGTGCTCTAATAGGATTTTCCAGTGGCTATTTTTCTCTGATGCCTGTTGTGACTGAAGATTTAGTTGGAACTAAGCACCTTGCAAATGCCTATGGCATCATCATTTGTGCCAACGGAATATCTGCGTTGTTTGGACCACCCTTTGCAGGTAAAAAGTTCAAATTGCTGAACAACAGATGTTTGTATAACTGTATGACTCGTTTTATTATTAAACTTTCTTATGAACATGCGTAGTTAACAGAATCACAGCTGCTCCAGAATGAACTATAACACCCAGCTTTAAATTGTACAAACTCACAGATCACATCTTCTGGGTCCCAGCTCACTGTTCACACATTGCAAACTCCAGTTCTTGGAAATAACCCCAGATCTATTACAATCTCTGCTTTCAAGGGTATGTTTCCTTAAAATAGCGGCACGCACTTTTTTTATTTCAATTAGAAGGGTGTAACCTATTTTTATGTGTTTTATGTAGTATTTGCACTATACATACCCATTCCTCCACCAGATGAAAAAAATGGTGATTAGTTCGCAGGGCAGGCAGCTGTTTGTAGCACAGTACTGCCCCCAAGGACTCTGGGGTGTGTTTGGGTGTCACCACTCTGAGCTGCCAGTGGATGTGTTGATTTAACTAACTTTGCTTTGCCTTCCTTCAGCCAGAAATACTTCCTTTGGGGGCTGCAGTGCCATAACCTCTTTACTGCCATCCACAGTAGAAGTGTATGCATGTTATCCCCACTCACGTAGGTTTAAACAGACATTCGTGATGAATTTTCTTGTAGAAAGAGCCAGGGAAGCGCAGAAGAGCTGTGGGTCCTGATTGTCAGTCCTGTCCCAGACGACAGCTTTCATTTACAGGGATGCTGGCCAGAAGAAAGCAGAGAGAAACCTTGTAGGTTTCCACTGGTAGGGTGAAAGAACCGATTGGTTTGGAATTCCAAAATTTCTGTTTTCAATTCACACCCGTGACAACTTGGTTTGAAAACTTTTTGTTTCCGCAAAACATCTGCGGATTTGACTGAAATGTCATGAGAGAAATGTGAGGTATTTGTTTGCATTTTCCCATGCAGTGCGTACCTTGTTGCCAAGCTTTGTAACAAACGTGTTTTGTGCTTATTTTCCAGGTTGGATCTATGACATCACACAAAAATACGATTTTTCTTTTTACATAGCTGGCTTGCTATACATGGTGGGAATAATATTTTTACTTGCACAACCTTGTATTCAAAAGAAACAACCGAGGCAAAAATCTACAGAAGAAGCACAAGTATAGAACAAATTCCAGAAGTTTTTTTTACAGAACTTTTTTGTTTTCATGTTTTTATTGTGTGGCAGTACGAAGATGTTTTTCTTATGAAAGCAACCACACTGAGCTGTACTTATGTGCTCCATAATGCTAATAAATGATGAGAAACTTGCTTTTAAAATTAGTTAAGATCTCTTACTTTAGAAGTACCAAGTGCAATGGTTAAAAGCACACTGCTAGTCCTTTAATATCAGCACAATGCTCGTAGCCTTTACCCTCGCTTCTCTTTCAACTTTTCACCACTAAGCTCTGGTGAAAATCCATTGACTGCAGTGCAGTTACTCCTCATTTACATGAGTCCTACGAGAGAATTTGGTCAGGACACGAGTGATTTATAAAGGTCCCTCCTACTGTGTGTTCGGTCCGATAAAAGATTAGTTACAGAGTCTAAGAAAATGATTGTATTTCTTGCCTGGCTAGTCAAGTACTGTTGAAATGCTAGTCTAATAATTCCATTAATTCATTGTATTAAAATTACTATTTCTGTGATACAAAACAGAAGAAAAGTTCTTATATTTTTCTGAAGTGACGCATTTTAACCTGATGATCCTTAGGTGTCCCTTCCGGCTCAGAATATTCTGTGATTCTACTTCAAGGATTTGTAATTTTATTTTTTTAAACTATCAACTGCATAACAAAGTAGCCATCCTCAATACACAGGCTGCATTGTAAATGCTGTGGCACAATGCACCTAAAGTAAAAAAATCATAAATGCAGAAACAGGAAATAGATGGAAAATACTCTTGTGACTGGAAAATGCCTCCAGAAACAGTCTGGGGTCTGTGGCCCCTTCACCTCATTAGAGGTCCTGCAGAACTTCTTAACATTGCCATTGACTCCTTCCCTGGGAAAGAACTCTGCTACAGCACACTAAATTCTGCTGCAATTAATTTACCAACAAAATCTGTTACATCATCAGCAGTTGTGTTGCTGCTCATAATGTACACCATAAACTGAATAAGATTGGTCGCGTTTGAGAAGTTCCTTCACTGGAAAATGAGATGATGCAGAGCATTGAAGAGCTAAAGAACATTTGAAATATTCAAATAAATTTTCTTACCGTTAAGCGCCTGGTAACCAATGCAGAAGGTGTTGTAAGGTGGGACAGGACATAATTTTCAGCTTTGAGAGGGGAATCTGACATTAATTTTCCTATCAAATAAAAGCCACTGGATGATTTTATCCTCTTAGCTTTATGAAAGTGTTTTGCATGACAAATCAGGTTCTTAGTATAACACTGACATGTGCTGCTGGAATTCCTTAAAAAACCAACTGATACTATTCAATTCTATTGAAGAACTGTTAGGACACAGCTGAGTATGCAACACTGTCAATATTCTGACCCTCTTTGTAGCTGCAGGGTTGGCTGAGAAAATGTTCTGATCCACTCTGTGTATTGTTGTGTACTGCAATTCACCAGCTCCTTGCTGTTGCTCCTCTGCAACTGTTGGCAAGGACATGCTTTAAAATAGAGCACTGGAATGAGCCAAGTTAAAAAAAAAAACAAAACCTTAAGAAAACCCTGAACTACTTTAAGATTTAGATCAGTTCAATCGTGTAGTAGTTATGTCTGGCCTTTTTAAAAGTCACATGAAACAACTGAGGTGGCACTGAACTGCAACACGTGGTGTGAACACACAGTAACTTCTTAAAATCAGCTGTTTTGCTGGAGAAAACATTCACATAAACTTTCACATCAGTTCTTTGTTACAGGTTTAATGTTTTCTTGTGAATGCTGCTGATAGCTTATTTTAACCGAGCTATCTTTTATCTGTGAAATAAATATATTGAAGTGATGATTTCCCTCATTTTCCTTTTTTTTTTCTCTGTTTGAAAAATACGTACCCTTCATACATAGATCTCCACTTTGTCTTTTGTCAAAAGTAACTTTATTTGCATATTACAGTAATAAATAATATGCTGTTCACTTGTGATATCTGCATTATATCTTTCTATGGATGTCTTTACTGGGCTGTATGTTGGGAATAAACTTACATTACCCAAAAATACACTTTCTGTTCATTTATTAATTTAGGACAGTGTTTTATCCACATAATGAAATTTGTATTTGTCATTGTACTAAAAAGAAAGAGTCACAAAGAAGAAAGGATATGTATGTAAGTGTTTCTTCTAAGATCAGTGATCACCAAATGCTTCCAGAATATTGGTATATAGTTGTAAAGCAAAATATTCCTAATCTACACAAGCAAACATCTTTCAATTAATAAAGCACTGCTTTATAAAGACACAGAATGATATCAAAGGCCTTTCTGCCACACTGAAAGCAGCTGTAATGCTGTATTCTCACATACACCTGCTCTGAAATCCACCAAGCTGGGTAAGTTGATGCCAAAAGACTTGTCAGGATGTAGAAATCACATCAGAAATACAAATCTGCTTTCAAGGAGGTAAGAGAAGCCTCGGGGCTTACAACAGAAATGCAATTTTAGGAGACTTTCAGAAGTACTGCAAGGATTAAGCCTGTTTGTCAGGAGATGCTTGTCTCTTTCAGAATGACTCCATAAAAAATCAGAAATATTATAAAGAGAAAGAAAAAAATGATGCAATTTGTTAGATTACAGAACCATCACAAAAAAATTTAGGAAGATACTCTGTGTCACGATATATTATCTACCCATTGTAAGTAATACAAGAGCGCAGCAACACTGATTTTCCCCCGAACATTCCACTTTTCTAGGGGTGCAATTGCAGGGACCCGTCTTTGTTTCCAAACAGACTGTTCCATTAAAAAAACCCACAAATATAAAATAGGGGAAGCAGAGCTGTGTCCCGTTCCCGGTGTCCCGGGGGCCCCGCGCCCTCTGGCGGCCGAACGGCCCCGCAGCACCGGCAATCCTGGAACAGCCTCGTCCCAAAAACCACCCAAACGAGTCCCCACCCTGCCCTCGTGCCGGCACATCAGCTGAAAACCTCAACACGATGTTTTATAACGCCACGGAGAGCGCCATTCCAGCCTGCACGGGAATCGGTTTGGAAATGAAAACCCATATTATTGGGGCAGATTTTTAATTCCCTAAAAATACTTCTGAAATGAGAGAAAGAGAGCGTGGCATTACTAGTTCTAGTAGGTTGTTTCATTCTGCCAAAATCTTATCTCTGTTATTATGCAACTTAATGCTTTCCAGGATTTCCTTAAATTCCAAAATATCCAAGGCTTTATGTTAATGAAAAGTTTACTGCCCTGCACAGTACCTGCTCCATTCAGTCTGCAAATGACAGATGAATTCCAAATATACTAATAAATAATTTCCTGACCTCTCTTCTATCCACTCTCTTCCTCTCCTTTAGTTGTTTTTACTCTCTTATTCTCAGTTTTCTCCCGGTCACAATATCAACTGTTTCATCTGCGAACTGAAATAAAGCCCAGAACTCAGCAAGCTTATCTTATCTACTCCCATCTGGCCTTCACCTCTAAATTAATGACACGCTCTATTTTCCTGTCTCGCCGTGTCCTCCTGTGCTTTCTTCCCACCATCTCCTATTTCTTGTGCTCACCTGAACTCCGTTACTTCTGTTTTCATTAACTGCTCAAACCATAACTTGACAGGCTTCGTTCTAGGCTCCTACAGCACCCTTGGGGATAAGAAGTTATTTTTCTCTTTAAGACATTTCTCTTCCTGTTTTTCAGAAGCTAAAATCTCTTTCTCCCCCTTCTGGAGTTATTGCAGCAGCCTTTTGTCAGGCTCTGACTGGGATAGAAAACACAGTTTGTTTTTCTTTTTTTAAAATTTTTACTGTTCCAGATCTGTGTGAAACTTTGAGAAAGCCTGGCAGTATCTTCCATCTCCAGAGAGGAAATGATGTACAGGAGCAATGGGACAGGAAGCCGTTGCAGGAAGTTGAAGTTCTCTTGGCACAGATTCCAGAACTTTGGCACCAAACAGCACAGGGAAAAAAAAAATGAAACCAAACCCAAGTGACAACAGACTTGTAGAAGCCTAAAATTTCTAATCAATAATCTCAAGTAATTCACATACATCTTAAAAAAAACCCAAAACCAACAATCAGCCTTTTTTTTTTTTTTTTAATGTTTTCTATATAAAATAACATTTAACATGAATGTCCAGATTAATTTTTGGATCCACTTTTCTACATACATATAGCTTTTTTAACATAAAGACTACTATTTACTCATTCCTTTATAAACTAATACACCAAATTCTCTTTTTGTAGGTCTTCTACCTAGTGAGTTACTCCCCATCCTGCAGTCACACAGTCAATTATTTCTGCTTCTGTGTCCAGCTTGGAACTTGGCCTTTTGTGTTTAACACTATTTCTTCAGATCACTTATCTATGTTATCAAATTGCTGTAATCAAATTATTAGTTCATTATAAAACAGAACCCCGCACTCAATTTGCTACACTTCTAATGAAGATTTTGATTTCCTAAGATCCAACAAAATGAATGCAGCCATCTAGATTAGTACAGGGCTTTTTTAATTCCTTTTCATACACAATCAAAAGTTAAAGCAGAATTACTATTTTTTTATATTGGGAAATTTTTTTCTAACACATCCCAAGCAGTGTCTTTTTATTGCTTTAGGGACTTTTTGTTTGCTGGTTGGTTTGGTTTTGCTTTAACTCACTAGAATCTCTCTTCTCATGTACATTGGAATGATAAAAGGAGAGAAACAGAATCATGGAAGTTGAACCTAAACTATTTGGATGCATCCATTTCCTTCCAAAGTATTTTGTAAGACTAATTACAAAATTCAAGCTTATGTGACTACATTTGAAAGAGCTTTTGCAGATTACCTGATTTCACTGCTAAGATGTTAAGACACTTTTCTGCTGTTTTCCCCCCAAATATTCCTGAGGTAGCTGTGGAGAAGGAAGCTCTTCCCTTAATTTCCTTCAAGTTTTGGGTAGGTGGCCCAATATTATGCAAGCTTTCATTTCCCTGCTGCAAGTGCAGTTTGCTGTCAGCTCTCCTTTGCTTTTTTGCTTCCCAAACATCTCAGTTCTATATGGTTGGTAATTTTCCTCAAATTCCTTATGCAAGTACAAAATGATCTCCACAGTCAACTAAAAATGGTCGGGCTGATTAATTCAGGCTGATATGTAAGGAGGATCCAAATCTTCACATCCTGGGAATGACGGTGATGTTTACACTGTGCATCTATTTCATGTGGAAGATTAAGGAGGCTGCCATGAGAATATTTGAGTTTTTCTTTAAAATGATTTATTTCTAGCAATAATAACGTGCTCTGTTTTGGTTGTTTTAAAATATATTTTAGCTGCGTTTATTTTGCTTTATTAATGTCTCTACATGAGCCAACATGAAAATCTATTGAACTTCAAGTTTCTATGAAAATTTCATCCTGTGAGTGCTGGAGACTATTTGATGACTTGTACTGTTTGTTCACTCATCCAGAAATATAAGTAGACCTCTCTTCTCTTGCTCACCACTCACCATCAATTTATTTTCCATCCCTGCAAAGCCCCAGATAAAACCTTGCTGTGCCCTCATTTCAAATCAAACATGCACGTTCAGAGCTGGATGGCAGTTACTATAAATTTACT